ATCATTCTTTTTTTTTTTTTTGAGACACGTTTTACAAAAATATTTTCCATAGATTAAGAAAGGTGGGAGAACATTTTGTATTTTTAGTTTTTCTTTTACGTATACTGCAATCAATTTAACTTATAATAAAATCACTGGCTTATAAACAGTAAAATACACAAATGCAATAATAACTATTGGACTTTATTGTTCGGTATTTTGTGGTCGGCTTACCAAGTGAGCTAGTTAAAGTTTCTGGGGAGATAATTTAACCAAAGTGGCTTCATTGGTTCTGTATATCATACAGTGCTATTGCTCTAAATTCTGTTTGAATCTGGTGTTTGGTTACCTGTCAAGAGAAGTCTATACCTCACGGACTCACCCAAGGACAAGAACGAAATGAAGAATAGGTCAGGCGAGCAGGATAGCCGGGATGTGCTTCACTTCTGAATCATTCTAATCGGCTGCTGGTTCCTATCAGTGACCAACTGATGCTTGAATAAGTGGTGGAAATGTCACCTTAGATGCCAGGGCTGGTGGAATGATGGCTCGTTGGTTCTGGGATAATCTGTCTGAGACCTCCTGCTAGAAAGTTTGTTGCCCTTGCCTTGGCCTTCAGCAGAAACATGATTAATTTGCAAACCCTTATTTACTAAACTCAGCCACTCTGTGGAGTTTTCCTCTAGTTAACTCAGTAATGTGCCTTATAAAATGATCTTAGATTGTCTACATAAAGTCATTTACCTCCTTGAAAACAAATTTGTTCAAAGGGAAAAAAAATACTGACAATAGTCCTTAATTTCCTCATTGTGAATGACTACACATAAATGTTATTAGAGAAACGACTTACCTGACCTTTATTGAATAGGCTAGGATCTCTCCTCTCTCAGTCTTGGAAGAGTTAGGTGCCTTCTCGCTGAAAAAGTGAGAAAGAGAAATCTTTTTGTCTTCATCTGTGTTCCAGACCCCAAGTCTATTGTTGTTTGGGCTCTTAATTTTTGCAACAACCCCGTTAGGGAAGGGATATTTGTGTGCCCATTTTTCACATGAGAACATTGCATCTTTTCAAGGTCATTCAATTTGTCCAAAGTCATACAGGCTGGCTATGGTTGGAGCTGAATTACAAAGCATGAACTGTATTTTATGGTACCGTGTTTGGGGGAAAAATGATTGAGAAAAAGAAAAAAAACTTGGTTTCAAGGCAATTAACAATGGAATTGAGATAGATTCTGTATTGAAAAAAATTACTGAGCATGATTAACATAAACACGATGAATGTTCCTTTCAGGAGTCCAACTATGAATCCTGCTAAAAAAAATTTATATTTTATTTTGTTTTCTTCTAATTTGCAAATGTATGCAAGCATGTCTTTGATAATGACAATATTTTTCCAAGAGTCAGCTGTGGAGGTAGGAATGCAAGCAGATGAAAATCAGATGCTATGAGTAGTCAAACAAAGAAGAGCTTGAGGTTATGTTACTCAATTGAGTGAAATTGATAATGCCTTCTGGCCACAACATACTATCTAGGAAGTCACTGCATTTTCCAGCGCCAAAGCATTTGTTAATCTAATTCAGGGATTGGCAGACTTTTTCTATAAGTGCAAAAGAAAAAAAAAAAAAGGTTTTAGGTTTTGGTGTTCATGTAGTCTCTGACAAAAGTACACAATTCTGTTCTTCTGTGAAGACAGAGACAGCCATATGTAAATTAATGGAAGTCACTATGTCCCAATAAAACTTTATTGACAAAAAGAGGCAGTGATCAGCTGGATGTAGCTCATGGGTCAAGCTAGTCTACGAGGGACAGGAGTGTCCAATGGACATAAATAATAACAAACACATATAAAATCATATACTCTGAAACGCAGAGAAAGACTAACTTTGACTCTGAGGTCCAAGCAAAAAATTGAACAATAAGTGATACACATATGCATTTATCCTTTCACTGGAGACCTACCCATGTATCTTGGCCCATCTCCTATTCTCCTTCTTCATAAACTCTTTCCATGTGTCTCTGTTCAGAATTTATCTTGGGATCATCATGTAGCATATTGCGACGTCCTATTTTTATGAGAAATATTTATTCAACTGCTACCTAGCATGATGCTACCGACAATTGCAGGTCTTCAATAAATGTCTGTTGAATGGAAATGTGCTAATAAGAAACGTGTCAGTGATTCTTAGAAGATAGAATTAAATGCTCAGCTCTGCTGGACACCCGAACCCAAATTCAAGTAATTCTGATGATTCTCACAGTGTGATACGTGCATGTGATTTTATGAGGGAAGAGATATAGAAATAAATTAAAACTTACGTAGCAGAAAAAAGTGCTGAAACAAAGCCAAAAAAAAAAAAAAAAAAAGGAGAGAGAGAGAGAGAGAGAGCAGTGAATGTGTACAAAGCTACCACAATTAATGTACTTTGCTATTGTTAAAGGGTGAGATAGATTTGTGGAATAGAAGCAAGTCCAAAAGTAATGCTAAATATATATGGAAACTTGGAGTATGACAAAGGTCATATATTACCAGTTCAGTAGGAAAAGCTGGTTTAATTATAAGTGATGCTGGTAATTTATAAGTGATGATGGTATTTTCATACACGAGAAAACTTTTTTAGCCCCAAAGATTGTCAAATAAACAAACTTAAAATGCATAAAAGATAAAATCTTAGGCAAAAAAGTTAAAATACTTATAAAATACATATTATACTTAAAATACTTACATATGGCCTAACGAGAAACAAGATTTTTACTTACCTAGAGACAAGGAAAACATTTTTCTTTTCTAATAAAAGAAAGAAGATGCCAAGGACATGAAACAAGCAATGTACTAATAGATATACAGTCAACCCTTCATATCCCCGGGTTCTGGATCCTTGCATTCAACCACCCTTGGAACAAAGATATTTGGGAAAATAAAAAGATGGTTGAGTCTGTATTGAACATATACACTATTTTTTCCTTGTCATTATTTCCTAAAGCATAAAGTATGAGAACTTGCTGCATAACATTTACATTGTAGTAGCTATTATAAGTAACCTACAAATGGTTTAAAGTATACAGGAGACTGTGTGTATGTTACACCCAAATACTTCACCATTTTATATTAGGGACTTGAGCATCCCTGGATTCATTATATTCAGGGACCAATCCCCCACGGATACCAAGGGACAACTGCAAATGACTTTGCCAATGCTGAAATTTTAAATTTATATTTCAAGAAATGTTGAAATATCCTCTATATTTCAAGAAACACTTTCATCAGAGTAAAAATAATGAGTTGCAAGTGAAATACAAATGTAACATGGTATGGATAAAGGATTACTATCCCTTTTTACTCAGGATTCCTACAGCTAATTAAAAAAAGATACAGACACTCCATCCAATCAGAAAGTGGGCCATATGAACAGATAATTCAAGAAGAGGACATGCAAATGTCAAAAACTGTTGAAAGATATATAACTTCAATATTATTCATGAATCTCTAATAAAAGCAAATGGCCCATCATTTTTCATCAGAGTTCCAAATATTTTTAAAGTATACAATTCACAGCTTTGCATATTTTGCTAAGAGCGAGGACCAATTAAACAAACTTGGAAAGTAATTTGCCAGTATTGTAAAATGGTAGACCGCATACAAACACTCACCTTACAGTAAACGAATAATAATTGACTTGTGTCATCCCGAAGCCTGTGTTCTCCTAGACGGAAGAAGACAAATGTATACACCAATTGTCATTGTCAAGGAAGAAAGTGGAGATGCTCAGAGTAAAGGTGCCTTGAAGGTGAGGGGAAGGTATTATTTTATAGATGGTGGACAGAGACAACTGCTTTGATAAGGTGGCATTGGAACAAATTCTTAATGGAAATGATGGAACAAGCCACATGGACATCTAGGAAACAGCATGAACCACAAAGGCAGACATGCTATCTCCGGGGAGACACAAGAAGAGTGCCTGCCTTAGAAGAGAAACGGTAACTGTCTTAGGAGAGAACCAGGAAGTATTCTGCACAGGACAGAAACAGGAAATGTACCTGCCTCTGGAGAGAAACAGAAAGTGTCCTGCACAGGGAGAAACAGGAAGTGTCCTGCACAGGGAGGAAACAGGAAGTGTCCTGTACAGAGAGGAAACAGGAAGTTTGCCTACTTTAGGACAGACACAAGAAGTTTCCCACACAGGGAGGAAACAGGAAGTGTCCTGCACATGGAGGAAACAAGAAGTGTGCTGGCCTTAGAAGAGAAACAGGAAGTGTCCTGCACAGGGGGAAACAGGAAGTAGCCTGCACAGGAGGGAAAGAGGAAGTTCGCCTGCCTCAGGAGAGAAATAGGAAGTGAGCCTGCCTTAAGAGAGAAACAGGAAGTGTTCTGCACAGGGAGGAAACAGGAAGTGTCCTACACATGGGGGAAACAGGGAGTGTGCCTGCCTTAGGAGAGAAACAGGAAGTGTCCTGCCCAAGGGGGAGACAGGAAGTGTGCCTGCCTTAGGAGAGAAACAGGAAGTGTGCCTGCCTCAAGAGAGAAACAAGATGGAGGAGCATGTTTTACAGGTTTAGAAAGACAGGCCTGGAGGGGATGGGCACAAGAGTCAAGACAAGGTGGGGTGGGTCATGGAGTCCATAACAAAGACATAGAGTGTTTATTCTGAGAGATCTGGTATTCCATAGGAGGGTTGTTGTTAGAGGAAAGGGGCGATCTCATGTGTCGTGAGAGTCACTGTTGCTCTGGCCCTTGTGTGGTCACAGGTACTTCAAGGGCAGTGGGAGAAGCAAGAGTAGCCACATGGAGGCTCTGCAGCCGTCCATCTAGGAGAGGCTGGTGATGGGGATGGGCCAGAGGTTCTGGAGTTGGTGTAGTGAGCCATGGTAGATGAACAAGAGGCACCGATGGCTTTAATGTAGGATGCAACCAAGGAAGGATATGAGGAAGCCCATGAAATATAAGAAGTGCTTCAGAAACTCCAACCCTGCTTGTGGCTTTAATACACCTCCTTTAGAAGCTAATTATCCAGGAGCGTTAGTGCTGGCCGGGCTCGAATTCCGCGTACAATCCATTAACATCTGACTTCTGCACCTACCATCGTTACAGCAAACTAACTGTATCCTTTTTCTCTTTTCCTGTAGAAACCTCCGCGCCATGAGAGCCAAGTGGAGGAAGAAGCAAATGCGCAGGCTGAAGCGCAAAAGAAGAAAGATGAGGCAGAGGTCCAAGTAAACCGCTTGCTTGTGCACACATGAAGGCCACAAGATCAGAAACATGGAATTCCAGAGTCCGGGGACGCTGGTACAAGTTGTTGGACTGCATGCTACTGTCTAGAACTTGCCTCTCAGTGGATCTAGAACTTCACCGCCATCCGATCGCCAAGGCCACCTCTGAGAGACCATCTTGCTCGTACCAAAACAGTCCCTACTGGTCCTTTGCCCTGGACCTGACATACTGGACTAGTTCTCTTCTCAATTGTGGCCGAGTGTAACAAATGTACAATAAATCACCTGCTGTTTCAGCTGAAGAATCAAAAAAAAAAAAAATAATCTAATTATCCAGATGGATAAAAACAAAATTTAGGGATGACATAGAAATTATATAATCAGGACATTAAAATGGATATGTGCAAAACTTGTATTATCCTTATTATGTTAACAAAGAATGCTTGTGTTTCTATTACAGCTAAAGGATATTTATGTATATTTAATTTACATATATGTATATGTGCTTGTGGCACGCATAGATGTATTGATTCTACAAAGTAGGAACAGTTATAAAGAGCAATTAGGATAAGAAAGTGTTTTCGGGCCGGGGGCGGTGGCTCACGCCTGT